TTTTGTTTTTTCGAGACAGGGTTTCTCTGTGTAGTTTTGTGCCTTTCCTGGAACTCACTTGGTAGCCCAGGCTGGCCTCGAACTCACAGAGATCCATCTGGCCCTGCCTCCCGAGTGCTGGGATTAAAGGCATGCACCACCACCGCCAGGCCACGATGCCTGATTTCTAATCAAACAAACCATGAGACATAGATCCATAAGAGGGATGCCAAGGAGGTGGTATCAAGTTTGGGTATCATGTTGGAGAGAGACAGAAAAGGATTTGTGTCTCAGAAGTGGCCATCACAAGGTTCAGTATCATGAAATGACCTGTCTGGTAAGACCATTTGAGTATTCCTGAATATTTTAACCCCAACATCTTACTATCTGACCCTCCTAGACACAAAGTGAGGTAACTAGGAGCCTTTAGTGATGCATCTACTTCATCTGGCTAAAGTATATTGAGCTGTCTGTGACTAAGTATCTCCCAGGGCTCTTGTTGAGATTAAATGAGTTGTCTTTGGCCATCCCCTGAATGTGTCCAATCTTGTCTGATCTCAGAGGCTAGTGAAGTTGGGCTTGGATAGTACTTTTCTGAAAGATTAAATGAGTTATTCGGGTCAAGTGCTAGCAAGAACTCAATAGTTTTGCTCTTTTGAGGTTGTTTTTTTGTTTTTTGTTTTTTTTTGGGGGGGGGAATTACAAGTTTCACATAATACTAATGCACTTGGTACAGGTTTTAAAATACTTCTTCAAATTCCTTTACATATGTCCCATTGTGAAACAAAGTCTGTACCCATCCTTTTCCCTGTAAGACTGAATGGGTCTCTGTGAATGCTTCTTCAAAATACAGAGGCAGTAACACCAAGAAATCACTAAGTGTGACTTCTATGTGAGGTTAGGAATGGCCATGCATCTTCTGCCTGTGTCTGTCTTGGTCTCAATCTTCACACCATGAGAAAGCCCAAGTCAGACTAAGTTGAGGTCTCATTCAAGATTGAGAATCAACCCCAGACATGAGAGGGAACAGGACTCCAGCTCCTTTCGCCCCCTTGACAGGTAAAAATGGCCTAGATGGGCTCACTCACTCCCTGGAGCTCTGAATAAGAAAAGTAACACAATGGCTGTTGTTTTATAACACTGAGTTTTAGAGGTGATTCATTATGTAATAAATAACCTGGCATTTTTAGCATTCTCCCTGGCTTTTCAGAACACTTGATGTGAGCTTTTCTATTTGTGTTCACCCCATCCCTGTGTAGGAAATAGCATGATTCATCATCACTTTGTGTGTGATGACATGATGTTGACCACTTCACCCTAGATTACATGACTTTTCTTCTAGACATAAACCAGAACTCAGGTCTCTGGGTCCCTAGTATGGTACCCTTTTCTAGAAATACTGTGAGCTAGGCACAAAGGATAAGGTTATACTATATCTCACCATGGAATTTGAACCATTGTTAGGATGTACTGCTGTGTGTAAATGCTTCCTCTACATTACCTTGGGTTCAGCCAAACAACCAGTGCCCTAGTTTCTATCTATGGGATTAGTGTGTTTAAATCACTTTGACCATATAAGAACAAATTACCCCCAAAACTCAATGTTAAGAGCAACAGCACTAATTCATTAGGCCAGCAACTCAGAAGCAGCTGGGCATGAGTAGTGCACATCTTCAATCCCAGTGCCTAGAATTGCTGAGGCAGGAGGGTTTTGAGTTCACAGTCAAGTCAACCTGAGCTACTAAGACCATCACAAATACAAAGAAATTCAGTTGCACGCTTCATTGAGGGGCTGTATTTTGGAATATTATAGTTATTGGGGCTGGAGAGATGGCTCAGTGGTTAAGAGCGCTGGTTGCACTTCCAGAGGAGCTGAGTTCAGTTCCCAGAACTCACATAGTACCTCACAACTGTCTGTAACTCCAGTTCCAGGGGATCTGATGCCATCTTCTGAACTCCATGGACACCAGGCATGTGATGCACGGATAAACATAAAGGCAAAACACTCAAACACATAACATAAATGAAATAAATTTAATTCTTTTCATTAAGGGGGAAAAGAAGTTACAGTTAGCTGTCACACAGGTCTGCATTCAGGTGAAGGTTGATGGTGTTAAGGAGTAGCTTCTGATCTGGCTCCCTCATATGGCCTCTAGTCCCCACAGCACTGCTTGAGTATCCTCACAGCATGGCAGCATTCCCAGAGCAAGCTATTCAAAAGGCCAGGAAGGAGACTGTAACACCTGTCACCTGATCTTGAAAGGCACAGCACTTTCCTTGTGTTCTATTGGTCACACAGATCAACCAAGCTTTTGACCCAGAAGCCTTTGCAGCACGTTCCAGATCCAAGCTGTAATACTCACTTATTTCAGTTTTGGAAATTTATCCACACAAATAAAAGCATCCACATGTCAGGGTAGAAGTGTGATGGTGTTTATTGCAGGACTATTGTTGTAAGGAACACTGGAGACCACCTTAATGCTTACCCACAGGCCAAGGAAATTGAATTTCATTTTGAGGAATAATATGCAGCCACTAAGCATGATGAATTAGAGCCATGTGCACCTACGACATAGTAAATCTTAAAGGAACATCAGAGTAACAGATAATATGTAATGCAATGTCTGTACAAAATAAAAGCCGACATCTTTGTGTGTGTGTGTTTGCATGGATCTGGAGAGAAGGCTTTGAGAGAGAATTTGTTTTTTAATAACCTGCTTACCATTTTCATGGAGAGGGGAGTTGGGAAGGGGGAAAATGGGAGAGAAAATGTATACATATCCGTATATCCACACTGTCAGGTCATTGCAATCTCAGCAATGCTAAATGAGCAAACAAACCTTCCTTGATTCAGAAGCTCCTGCTCAAGTCTTCCTACTCCTGTCCAAGTCTTTCCTCTACCCTTGGCTTTCCTGAAATGGAGGTGACAAAATGCTCCCAAAGGAAAGCTGCGGGGGGGGGGAGTCATTTCTGGTGAGGTACAGAGAGGACAGAACGGGCTGTCAGTATTTAGGAGGGGAGCTGATGCTGCATCTCAAAGCATTGGTAAGAAATGTGCTGCAGAGGTGTAGCAGCTCCAGGGGGGGGGGTGTCTCCCAGAGGCCCTCAGGTCCCACTTAGCCTGGCAGCATTTCTTGGGGAATATTGATCAAAAGTGCTCACCTCTATCATCTGAGGAGCATAATGCAGTCTGTGAGTATTCATGGAAAAAAGCTTTTCTTGGCCAGGCTATTTTCTGAAGTCAAAAAGATCCTTTCAGGATCTGTAATAGCCGTCCCTCCACACTTCACACCCTCAGTGAAAAGCACACTCCAATTTTCAGACCCTAGGACCCCACGCCAAGGAGGAGGCTGACGAGCAGGACCTATTCATGTAAAATAGTCTGTCAAACTCAATGAGCATTTTGCCAGAGGGAGAGGGAGGGATACATAAATGTTAGATTAAAAATTCCACCTGGACACACAGGAAAAGGCACCCTTATTCCTGAGATCATTAATGTATCTGTTCTTCCTTTCTTCAATGTCTTAAATGGAATTTTCAATCACATATATAATGAATGCAGTCTGATATGGAAGGCAGCATATCAGTGTAATATTAAGCCTGTTTTTCATGTCTGGAAGATGGTATGGTATGGAAGACGGTGACAAGGACTTCCTGGTTTCTCTGACTTTGGTTTTGTAATAAGCCGAATCTTCCATTATTTTTAAACTTACCTACCTACACACACACACACACACACACACACACACCCCTTTTCTTTCTCTAGTGCTAGGGATCAAACCAGAACCTCATGCATGCCTGACAAGTGTTTGCTTGACACATACAACACGGCAGCTTAAATCCATACCTTCTCTCATATTATCCAACTTAATTTAGGCTAGTAGGGACTTAGGTATTAAAACATATTTTTCTTGTAAAATCCTAACCACCAAAAAAAGCACAATGCAATGTCAGCAAGTTCTTTTCAGTGACCCTTAGCAGGGGTGTCATTTCCCAGGGTCCCCTGCTGTGGCGCTGCTGGCCACCTACTTTGGAGCACACGTGAAAACATCTTTTGGCAGGGGAGCATGCCACAGAGATGTCCTTGCCTTCCCCGGCTGGGCCATGGGCTATGCTGGAGAGATGCTCCAGCAGACAGCAGGGGACGCCGACCCTTGGCTTTGGAAGCAAGCCTTTTGCTGGCAGTCCCTGTGGTGTTCAAGGGACTTGGTGGTTTCCCATCTTTTCCTGGAATCCTTACCTGTAAATGCCCTTAGGAGGCGACCACAAATCTGATCAAATGGTAGCAAGTGCTAAACACCACATGGCTCTTTGACTCCAGAAGGTGGGAATGAACTTCCAGGGCGTGGCCAACCTGCCTGGGTATTGCACCAAGTCTGCCTTGGTAGCAGATCTTTCTTTTCAAAGTCTTTTTTTTTTTCTTTTTTTCTTTTTCAGTTAAGACCTGTGCAATCTGCCTTTCCAGGAATCTGTTATCTGGTGGTTTTTGAATTCCCAGGAGGGGTTGGTTCCAAGTGCTCTTTTTGTGGACGATAAGGAGAGGTCAGATTTCTGGCAAACCAGATCCTCACAGTGCCAAAACCTTGCTGTGCTCAGTCTGGCTCCTATGACAACAGACTCAAGGTGGCCTTGGATGTGGACTCCGAAGCATCCTCACAGCAGCTGGAGTACAATGGGCACATGACGACTACATTGTTCAGCAACAGTCCAGGCACTGGCTAGGAACAGTTGTTGGTACCACTACACCGAATGGAGGTGTCACTACACATGGAAACCTGGGGACTCAGCTCCTGGCTGAATCCTCAGTCTAGCTGCATGACAGCCAGGAAGGCAACACCTTCAGGCCTCAGCTGTCATAGCAGAAGTAGATGGAGGAAGGGTTGGAGTTCCCAGATGCAGACCAGGGTGTTAAGTAAACACATATGTAGAGAAGTTTACTTTATGATCTTTTCCAAAAACCTCCATTGGTTGTTTTTTTTTTTTTTGAAAATGAAATGCAATTAAAACCACATCCATTCATAGAAGAGCAATCTTTGATACAAACATTTCCATCAAGTGGCCTTGGCTTAGATGACACACACAAAGCTACACCAGAGATGTGTGTACAGAAGTGAACACTGTAATGCAGTATCTTCTCATGAGAAGATACTCCACTGGAGGAAACAGGCATTTCCCCTGGAATACTAAACAACAACAACAACAATAACAACAAAACAGACAAAAATCCCCAAACCAAACCCGTACAATTGCATTCTTCTTAGTGATCCTTTTCATTGGAAGCTGGATTCTTTATGATAAGGTCTGAGGGTATTGATGAGGATTTCTGAAGACGACCCAATCTCTCACAGGGAACATGGTGCCCAGAACCAACCCCTCCCCACCTTTTTGCTATAAATATGAAAGCAACCTTCTTTATGAGACAACAGTGACAACAGCCTTTGCGTTTCAAGTGCTCATTTCCATATCTGCAAAGTATCCCAATATGACCCCAGAGGAAAGCTCCCTGTGGATCCTGGAAGGCCATCTGCTGAGCTGAACGGTTAGCAAGAGGGAGGGACTCAGCTCCGAGGAGCAGCTGTAGAGCAGTGGGCCACCCAGCGCCACAGACACACGGGGCTGCCTAGAATACCATCAGCAGAGCTGCTCTAGCCCCCCAATCGATTTCTGGGCATCCATCACCTTCTGGGTAGCTACAAGGGAGGCAGATGCTTTAGTTTGACCCTGGGAGGAAATGAGGCAGGGTTTTGAATCCTCCTTAGAAATGCCCAGATGAAGCAGAAGGTGGTGAAGTACTGCTTCGGGCTCACAGCACTAGAGTTGTTTCTAGAAGGAACTACATATATCAGCTCTTGATTATCAGTTTGAAGCCAGGTCAATTCAGGCTCCTCTTTGCAATTGACTCCCTAGAGCCTTTCTCAGGACATCAACACGTTCTGCAAGTGCTGGGTACTCAGCAAGCATTTGCTAAAGGAACAAGTGAGTGACTTTACAAATTCGGTTGTTCAGCATCCTGAGAATTCACTGTTGTATGGAACATGGAGTCGCCCACCATGTTCTCAGAGACCACAGGCTAGGTTGCAATGTGATTACTGGAGTCCTGAGGCAGGAAATATCAGTACCTAGCTTCAGCCACACTAGAAGGAGGCCGAATTACATGCTGTCTGTCACCTAATAACAAAGTTCTCAAATATACCTTGCTCCTTAGGGGCAGGGACTCTAGCTTAGAACAGGGGGCTGCCTAGGAATGACAAAGCAGGGGGCAAAGGTCACTATGAGGCTCAATACCCGCTGTAAAAACAGACTGGGGTGGTTTTAATTAGGTGAGATGATGGATGGAGGACATGGATGGTGCTCCCAGCCATATATGCAGAAGTTTACCCTGTGATCATCATAGGCTGCAGGTTCCCTGGTGGCTAAATATTAGCATTCCATACTATGAACCATGAGGCTGATTTTTACCTGAGTATGTGTAAGCTTTCTGAGTGGTACTAGCTACGATGTTGAACACCTGTTGGCTTTGGTTTACAAAATGCTTTTGAATAACTTTGTTCAATAAAAAAAATGCAAATCAACTTTTTATTAGCTGTTGGGATAAACTTTTATTTTCCTACACATTATAAGAATGTCAGAAACATGCAGCACCTAGATGCTGTGCTTCTAACTCATCAAATCATCCCAGGAAATCAGAACGAAAAAGAGCGAACTGGAGTTGAGTGGCACCATTAAGGAGCGAAGTGTTTTCCCAGCATGGCTGCCTTTGTGGAGTGTGTCCTAGTGCACACGTACACTCCTGCCAAGATGAGGCAGACCTGGAGGTCGCCCCCACCTCAGAACAACCTAAATGTGCAGCATTGAAAAGTTAAATAACAAGAGACCTCAAAACAATCAAATGACATGCTATAACTTAATTTATCATCTCTATCAATTTCCCCCCTATTTACACATACTCCACATTGTAGACCTGAAACTAAGAAAATGTTTGCTTACTGTGTAAGTCATATACATAGACATTGGGTGCAAATAAAGGACAAGTTTCCCTTAGATGTGACCCCCCCCCTCAGTAGGTATGGAGGAACACAGCTACACATAAGACACACTAAAAGGTTTAGAGGGTCCATCAAACCTCCACCACACCTTAGTGGCGATAAGGAAGTGACACCTGAGGACAGTCGGGAAGACAGGATTTGCATGGCTCACTGGAGCTGTGTGACCTCCTGTATAAGGCTAAAGGTCCTACTAATCAGCAACATCACAGAATCCGAGTCGATCCCCGGGGCTCTCAAGAGTTGCAAACTTGTAAAGTCACTCACCAGGCTAAATTTCTTTTCTCCTATCTGCTGAAGGTCTGGCTATTTTTAAAAAGTCATAATTTTGCAGGATTACTATTTTTTAAAGCATCAAAGTCTAATCAACAAGACTATAAACATCAGTTTCCCTCTGTATGGAACTCCGGAAATCAGCATGCCGAGAAGGGCACTGGCCAAGCCCTGCAGGAGCCCAGGGAGTCTTAGCACACTTCAGGGTAATTAGGGCCACTTTTATTACAGATGTCTGACCTACTAATACTAATGCGATGAGTGGCTCTCTGGAGGGTCTCTACCGGATGAGTGACCCTCAGCAATTTTGCTAAAAGACATTTATTATGAAAACACAATATTTGCTTTTCCAACTGAAAAAAGAAACGGCAAACTTGATCATTTCAATTTTCCACCCCAAATAACAAGAAGTGCTAAGTCCAACCAAACATGGCTGCCAGAGCCCCCACTCCCAAATCTAAGTCTCTAACGGAGCTATTACAATCTAAGGCCCGTGGGCTGAAAAAGTAAAACAGACACAAGCTGCTGCTGTCACCCAGGGCATGGGGCTGGCAAAGTCATTAGGTTACAACAAGGTCAAGTTATTTGGGACCTCCAATTGAATTTCTCACTCCAGTCTGGAAGAGTTGGCTTGTGGAAACAAATGATCAGAAGGCTGGGGGAGTTTAAAAGGACCTCTGGGGCCTGGGTTGTGGCCCTGGGTTCTGTTACCATTGGAAAACAAAAATAGAAGACTTCCAAAGTGACAAGAATTCCACAAAAAGGGTTTGAGGAGCCTTAAGATAAGCGCTCTTGCAGAAGCTACTCGCTGAAAGAGTGCTACAGGGCCTCTAACGCCCAGGACTTGGGGTGGGGTGTGCTTTCTACAGGAGTCAGGACTGGGAACTTTGTAAACAGTGAAACAGCAGATCCATAATAGAAGTCTGAACAATACTGGGCAACCAGCCCAGAAAGCTCAAATCTCTCTGTCTTTCTCTGTCTCTTTCACATACACATGTACATGCACATACGCGCGCGCACACACACATGCACACACACACACGTGGTAGATGGGATAAGAGTCAAGGTATCACTGACACAATGGGAAATATCGTGGCATCTCATTTCCCTTCTATCATCATTAAGCTCCCAATGAGTGTGCTGGGCCCCTAGAAAACAGCACACAGGGATCATGGGGTTCCTTCTGCTTTGCAATGTCCTAGCCTGTTCATGACCTGCAGGCAGCTCTGCAGGTGCTTCTGTCTGTGGCCTGGGATGGAGGCCACACAGTTCCCTTCAAAGCAGGTGGGTGGATTCTCCCTGCAGCTGGAAGGTACTCCTAGAGTGTCGCTCTCAGAATTCCCACTCACTTCAAGATTGAGTCTGGCTTCTGGCTCTGCCTCTTTCTCCACCAAAGTCAACAGCGGCCAAATCGGCTCTGCAGTAGATGGGGAAAGCTGGCTTCTCTGGGAGAATGGCCACTGAGGAGGCAGAGAAGCAGGCTCAGAGGAATGACCAAGCAGGCTAGGAGTAATGTGTGAGAAGAAAGGGCAGAGGAAGGCAGAGAGGTGGCCACATCCAGGGCTTCCCTTCTCATGCCTGAGCTCCCCTGGAGGCTACATTCTACAGCTGCTTTCCTGCTCTGGCCGACGGGGCCACCTAGACACGTGCACTGGGAAGTGGCCTCATGTGGCAGGACCATGCAGCAAGGGATGGCCTCTGCTGCAATTTCTGTGTTTCACTTTGAGGCAGACCAGGGAACGAAGCAACACTGGAGCTCTGAGACAGTGCCAGGGCAGGGGGTGGGGAGCGGGGACAGAGGTCTGTGAACAGACTCTTAGTTGCTGGGTTCAAGGTCCAAGATGTCCAGGAAGGGACACATTTAATTCCTTCCCTCCCTCCCATCCCTAATAGGCACAACACACTCTCCTTGGAGCCAGATAGGTTAATTTACACACACACACACACACTTACACACACACACACACACACACACACAACTCATGTATGTATGTATATACATGAATATAACTCATACATATACATATGTATGTAACACACACACACACACACACACACACACACACACACACACACACACTATATTTGATCCAAATCTATTGTTTGGAATCTGTTACCCTAAAACTTAAGTGACAAGAGCTGTTTTCAAGGCTCTGCCTTGGTCTCTGAGCAACAGGTAGGAAGAAGACCACAGGTGAACTTTTGAGGGCACTGGACAGGATGTGGGTGCTGGTCAGCCCTGGAGCTGGAGCAGGCACTAATCTTGTGTGTTGATGTAGATGGTGCTGGGCTGGGCTGGGCAGGGCTGGGCAGGGCAGGGCTGGGCTGGGCAGGGCAGGGCAGGGCAGGGCTGGGATGGGATGGGCAGTGCTAAACTAGGCTGGGCTGGGCTGGGCTAAGTTGGCCTGCACAGGGTTGCTAGTCATCTGCTTACTGCTCTCCTGTGGACAGGCCTGTATCTAGACATTTCTGATCACTCTATGTGAAACATCAGTGTCAAGACCTGGCAGAATTGTGTTGTCAGGAGAATCTTAGTCAGTGGGCCTCAGGTACCAGGTGGAGAAAGGCTTGATGATGGAGGTGAAACTTCCTGTGGGAAAAGACCCTGGGGACAGCCAGTTTCCATGATGATGAAATTTTGATGATGAAAAGTTTGAATTAAACTGTAAACCCTAACATAAAGATTAGCAAAATCATTATGGAGGAAATTCTTCCAACAATTACACAATTGTTTTGTCAGCCCCTTTGGGAATCAAGCTTGGGTATATAATGACAAGAAAACAACTCAGGGGTACAGACAAGTGCCCTCTGCCCCTGCCCCATGGATCCCGCCCAAACCTTTCACAACTGTGTTGTTCTTCCTGGAAGCTCCAGACAACTCCATTGCCCACATGATCGTAGGCTTGTTCCTGGTTGATAGCAACTTCTTTTCTTCTTCTGAAGCCCAAGGTTTATGAGATTCCAGGACAAGAGGAACACAGTCCTGTTTGAAAATTCCACACAAACTAGATCACTTCCGACCTTGGGAGCCAAGCAATGGGAAGGCTTGCTGGCACAGTGGCAGTTTCCTGGAGTCTGGATTTGAGGGTTCTGGGGAGAGCAGGAGAGTCTTGCCTGTCTCTTCTACATGGAGGATTTTCTTGGGCTCCATACTCAGGCTGGAGGTCAAGAGCCCTGCAAAGGAAGCAGGGCAAGGCACGGAGGTCAAAGAGAGTCTCCGTCCACATACTGAAAGAAGTACATACGGTGCTCGGAAGACCAGAGAGCTTGCTCATTGGGAAGAGGGTTTGATGTCCTTCCTGCCCCACAGCATGTTTTGCAAGGATGTTTGTTGAATGCATCATCAAAGAAATGTCATTCCTCTTAGTCTTTGCCCTGGATTTTTCCATAACATAAAAGAAATTACAAATCTGTGAATCTCTGAAATAAAACCAGCCTTTCTGGCTAGTACAGAAGTAAAGAATGAAGAGAAAGGCATCAGATCGCAGCACAATGGAGTGAAAGCCATGAAGGAGCCCTGGGCAGCGTCTGTGCCGATGCTGTGTTACTGGGATCCCTGCATGTTTACATATTGATATTTCACATGAGTTACTACTACTCAGTTATTCCCTAAAGGGCCTGAGACGAGAGGTCAGGCCTAAATTGCTTGTCTGAATGAGTCCAGATGAGCATGCAGCTATTTAGCACCAGAGGGAACAAGGGATAGAATTAAAACTCACAGATCTGCACTCCTCCCTTCCCCAGGGTGGCTGTCTGGGACTCAGAGGGATACAGGAATGCCTGCTGCAACACCCGGCCGCTGTTGCGGCGTTGGTTGGTCTCGGAGGGCCACTCTTCAAATGAGAGCATCATTTCATCACCCTTCCCCTTGTAATATACTTTTAAATGCTCTAAGCTTCCCTGAGTGGCTTCTGCCTAGAACAAACCTCAAAAGCAGCACTGCTGGAGCCTCTTCCCTATGGGCTTCTCCTCTGGAACTATGGTCTTTGAAACGGTCATTACTGGTGTTTGAAATGAATTTATTTGGGTTATTTTGTCTACAGTTTTTTTTTTTTATTTATGGTTGTTTATTTTTTTTAATATGTCTTCTGACCTTGCCTTACCCTCTGGGGAAGAGCTTCTGAGATTGGTACAGGACTTGCAAGTCCCCTGGACCCGTGGAGACACTGTCCCATGCACTCTATGGTTTTTCACTTTCAGATTCCAAGGACAAGCTTTCACCTCCCTCCCTTCTAGGGCCAGTGAGGTTAGCAGACAGAGAGCTCTGGGCCCCTCTCCTATTGTTTTCCTCTTCAAAAAGAGGCTACAAAGGGTGGGGTAGCTCAGTGGGTGAACCCTTGCTTAGCATGCACAAAGCCCTAAGTCCCAGCCCATCAAAAACACAAAACTCGGCTGCTTTAAACAAAGGGAGCACAGCTAGACCTGGCCTTCCAAAGATCAGCGTGGTTTTTAAACATGTATTTACTTTGCTTATATATATATGCATGTGTGCCACTTGGAGCCTGCAGAGGCCAGAAGAGGGTGTGAGATCCCCTGGCGGGGACTGGAGTTACAGACAGTTGTGAGCTGCCATGTGGGTGCTGGGATTTGAACCTGGGTCCTCTAGAAGAGAAGTCCGAGTGCTTTACTGCTGAGCCATCTCTCTAGCTCCCCAAGGATCAGGTTTTTATGGACATATCTCCATGCCCTACTTGTTAGGAGTGGGCAGGAACATTTGATCAGGGGTAAAGGGCAGTAGGGAAAACAAACCTGACTGAACCTCAGAGAGTATTCTGGTTTGAAATGCCACCCATTCTGGTCAGATCAGTTAGGATTAAGAAGCCAAAAAAGAAAAAAAAGCAAGTCAATAAATGCTTAAAGATATTAGGCAAAGGCACAGCTAATGTTTGGTCAGAGGCAAATGTTTTAGCTATACGCTGATCCCCTTATACTAGGGAGGACAAGGAGGACAGAGGGTCACAGCTTGAGCTCCTGCAGATGGACAGAATAGTGCCAGCTGTCTCACTCACTAAGACTGAGCCATCATTTCAAAGCTCTGCAAGCAAGGAGTTTGTACTCCTAAAGGCAGAGGCCCTATTAGCCAAGGGCAGAGAGCAAAGCCACACCAGCATCCAGTGGAACCATGACCCAAGCATTCCTTCAGTCCTCAACTTTCTGCTGGTGCACCTTCATCCTGCAACGGCTCCCCTATGCCCACTGCACCCCATGATGGATGGGGAGGCAGCAGCTGCAGAATGCATAGATGGGCACAAAGGATGAGGGCTGCCTTCTTGACACAGTGACTATACTTGCAAGCTGCTGGCAGTGCTGGCCCAGCCCAGCTTCTGCTGGAGATGGAAGCTGGGCTTGCTTATTCAAGGGGCTCTATTTTACCCCTGCTGGGGCAGGTGCAGGAGGACCTGGGACAGGGGGCTGAAACTATAGACCTTTGCCCCTAAACTCCTACTGGAAAGGGACTTCTCAATCCTGTTTAGCCTTCCCGAGTACAGCATTTGTGCTCTGTAGATGCTGTCACCTTTGGGACACTGCTGGGGCCAGTCCAAAGCCATGGCTGAGAAGAAGAGGCAGGGGAACTGGGCTAGAGGACTGACTCACTGTGGTGGCCAGTGGCTCCTCTAGCCAGCAGGTGTGGCAGGCAGCCTGCTGGGTTACAGAGGAGTCCTGGGTGAGTTACTTCTATTTGTGTTGGGAGCACCATAGGAATGCGGCTAATAAATGACAGCTCTTTCTCTTCAGTGTGGCATTACCAGAGTCACTATCCAAGGCTCTCCGACCTGAGAACCAGTCCTGTCCCGGTCCTGCAGTGGTGGCTGCCATCCGTCTAAGCTATCTGTGCTGGGCCAGGATCCCAGACTCAGGACAGAAAGGTCAGGCAGGGAGGTCACACCTGCCATCTCAGCTTGTTCTCTGAGTCCTAGACGGTAGATCCTGGGGTTCGCCGCCCTCTGCACTTTTGTCTGCATCTCTTCTCCCAGCTGCTCTATTCAGCAGCCCTCCTTGATGACCTGCCCTCCCCGTGTGGAGGCCTTTGGAGGCCTCTGCTAAGGCAAGCAGTCAAAGGTCAGCCCAGCACGTGCTTCATCTTATCGGCTCATCTCAACATCCTCCTTCTCCAGGCTTGCCCGACAAAAAAAAAAGGGGGGGGTGGGGGCGGCCCTGTGCCCATGGCTCCCTGCAGCCCCCCACACAAAGGGGAGGCGACAAAGACATTTTCCATGATGGCAGGTGTCCTGGCAGAAGAAAGGCAGGCAAAGCTGGGCTCCACAGGCAGCACAGACATGTAGGGACAGGAGAGTGGGCAGGGCCCCTTGGGAGAAGACAGGAGGCGGGCAAGGCTGAGGCCTAAGAAGGTGAGTGGGCACTACAGTGTCAGTCAACCAATACCCCTCCCCCACACAGAGTTTGGCTTGTGCATGGGCCAGGGAGGGGTAGAGTAGAGGGGAGGGAGGGGCAGGCCGTTGGGGGGGGGAGAGGACACCAAAGTGTCTTACCTTGCTCAAGTGTCATAATGAGACCGCTATGTACTTTAATCTGAAGAAAGAGAAGATAAAAATCCAGTGAATGGAAGGCTAGCACCCCCACAGCTGCAGCTTGATAACGAACACACTGCTGATAACACATGTATCCCCCAGCTACCCCTATTTCTCAGGCCTTGTGTATCATTCCTCAAAGTTCACTGGAATACCCGCTTGATGGGACCGAATACCAGGTGGTGCCGTATTTACAGATGAGTCCTCAGAAGCATACAGACCTGAGGGAAGATCTCAGCTTCCTATTCCTTAGGACAGGTCCCCATCACTCCTTCCACACCATCTTACTTCCTACGTTTTCCACAGCACATGCCCCCTGTTTTTGCTTCTACCCCAACCTTGCGCTCCCCGCAATTTCTCCTGGATTCCATATAGTTAGATGCCTACTGAAGCTGGACATTTAGTAGTGACACAAACCGCTGTGCACACTGCCACAATTACAAGCTCAGACTTTCTGCTGACTCCATCTGCCAGGGCCTCTCTAACACAATTTCGACATTCTCTCTGGTAGGTCTCTCTGAAGGAAGTGTGTGTACTTCTATGAAGTTACATTCTCCTACTGATGCAAACTCAGCCCCCGACGGAGTATTTGGGGTGGAAGCCAGGATCCATGACAAGCCCTGGATGACCAAGTGGCACTTCCTTGTCCTACTGTGAACTTGGGTACCTCTCCATGTGAGGGGCATGAGAGGCTCTGTCCAGACTGTCTGTGGACAACAGATGATAATGTAATTATCCTTAGATGATAATGTAATTATCTAGATTTCATATTTCTCTCAATGTGCTGCCATATTGCAGGGCTCCATTTCACCCAATGGAGGAGCCACATACCTCTGTATGCTTGGGTCTACCTTGAGTTTGGAAGAACCTCAGGCTTTCAGAGTGCCATGTTCCTGATGCACTCCTGTGTGTGAAAAGGCTCTTTAGGAAGGGGCTCCTTGGTCTCCCTCTCCTGCAGCCCCCTTGGCCCTGGTTACGCTATGCATACAGGCCCTTGATTGGGAGAAACCCAGAAAGCAGATGGCGTATTAACAATGGAGGACTTGTTTGTAATTGCTGATGAGGACTGGTTTGCTCCTCTCCTGAGGGTCCCCAGACACAGCCTGGTGTGGTGGGCCGGCCCACAAAGAGCATCTCGGTAACTGCCAATCCATGGTTGAGTTAAGGAGATGCAGAGGCAGAGGCAGTTGGAGGCTGCCTTGATTATTCCATAGGGCTCAGATGTCACCTGCTCTTGACATCCAGGCAGTACTCTTGAAGGGTGAGGTCCCAGTTGCTGGGGCCAAGGAGCAGGCTGCCTCTTAGTATGACCCCAGGGGTCAGCACAGAGCATCAGCTACCTGCACACTATTCGAAGAGCCTAGAAGAGAGGACACTGAGCTTGGAGATAAGGGATGAGAAGAGACTGGGAGGCACATGATGCCTGGGAGGAAAAGAGGCACAAAGCGTAATCCCCCCGCCCCATCTTTCTTTTCATCCACTGGACGCTAGATGTGTTTTAAGTACCGTTACAGGATGTAGCAATGGATACAGCAGACAAAACCCACCCTTGCTTTTGGGGCCTTAGTGGATGGTGGGGGAGGTAGAGCACACAAATATACAGACACACACATTTCTGTGGCATCCGAAGGGAGAGGCCAAGTTAGGAAAGAAGGGTCCTGAGAGGTTCCAGGGTGACTTAGGACATTGTACTGCAGGGTTACAGTGTGTCTTGAATAAGAAGGCATGTTTGGACATTAGTGGTGTTGGAAAATCAGCAGTCACCTCCTTTTCTTGTAGGAGCAGCTGGAGAGACTCCTGGGGAGACGCTTTCACAGTCTAACTCAGACACCAAATGGCATTGTTTTGGCCAACTGGCAGCTCATATACAAAAGTTTAAGCCTGCAAAATCCAGAGGCCATTTTTAGAGAAGTGTCTTACTTTTTGGTATTGTATGACTTCTTTGATATCAACAAGGATATCAACAAGGACTTTCCTTTTTCACTCAGGAAATAACAAATAAGGCTGGAGATTTGCATTCTCTGCAGCTCTGCCTCGAGATGCTATTTGAGAATCTGTGGGTCTTTTATAGGGTAAGTTTCCTCCAGCTGCAAAGGAGTGGAGTCTGAAGCAAAGCTTCCTATGTTGGAGGAAGGCCGGCTGCCCAGCACTAGCACCTGGGGTAAATTGGGGCCAGGGAGACAAGAAACGTGGCTGCCTCTCCCCACATCCTTGTTACTGAACAGTTAGTATGAAAATGATTAACTGGTTCATGATAATTAGGAAAGAGAATGATTTTGAGAGTTGGCATGGGTAAGGGAGAAAGACTGGACTGGGGTTCCAGCTTTAGGCAAGTGCTAACTATTCTCCCAGCAGGAAGGCAGGCAGAGGGGGATCAGAGAGCTGACGGTGTGTGTGTGTGTGGGGGGGGAGTATTCAGACCCCTTGGAATGGCTCTGAGGAGGGGAACAGGTGCAGGCAGTGGATGGGAAAGCCTGCACACGCAACTCAACACTGGCAACCCAAGACCAGTGGGGATTTGCCAGCCTAATTAACATCTCCAAATGGCCAAGAGTGGCTTCCAGTATTTCCAGTCCAGCAGCAGTGGCTATGTTCTGGCTCCAGCCCTGGCACTGGGCTTGGCTTCCAGTGTTTGGTTGTTGGTCTTGCCCATCAACTTTGGTTCTGAAGCAGAAAGCCAGGACAGCTGGACCAACAAGCATGGAGGAAAGAAGAAAGCACCCGCATTGTGCAATGTGGGTAGGCACACTTGCGTAGGGCCTTCGCGAGCAGTGGGGACATTAAGAAAAACCTTTGCTGGTGTTTTTCCTTTTGTCCAACTATTATGTGAACTTAGGAGCGATGACTAAGTTACACATTTAAAATTAATAGTTCAGTGCCAACTGAATGGTTAGCCACAGTTTAGAAAGGTGTCCAGGCCTCCTCAATATCTCAAAGCATGTGGATGGCAAGGTTTTGGCTGCACCATAGCCATAAGGGAGGCTGACGGCCTTCTCAACCTGGCTCCACAGTGCATGGCTAATAGAGTACTGCTGTTCTCGACAGCCCAAATGTCCATCAACTGGTGAATGAACTGTTTGGCAATTTTAAAAGCCTCCAGTAAGGAGGAAGGATCATTCTTCTTTTAGAGCATAGACAATGGTAGATTTCCCATGCTTCAGTGAAAGGTCCTATACCCATGTACACATGGGCATCACTAATTGAGCTCAGTGGGATATGAAAAGAAGACATGAAGTTGGAAAGGAGGAGTCAGGGTAGATATGATATTTTAATGTACACAAGAATGAAATTATCAAAGTATAAACATGCCAATCAGGTAATTTTTAAAAACACAACGAATGCTGTAGCATGAATGAACTTTGAAAACATGCTAGGTGAGGGAAGCCAAGTCACCCTATTGTCTGGTTCTATTCATATGAAATGTCCAGGATAGGAAGATGCAGAGAAATGGAAGTGGATCAGTGGTTTCACAGGACTCAGGGTAGACTTTGTGGAAGGAATGAAGATTGACCATGAGGAGATTTTATTTTATTTCTAGGGGAAATGAAACATTCTAGAATTAGACCATGGAGATAGCTGTGAAAATGCTGAAATTATTAAATGTATACTTTTTTTTTGGATGACTGGCATGATATGTGAATTATATCTCAATACAACCTTTTGTTGTTGTTAAGTTTTTTCTTTTTCCTTTGTAGTATTGGAGACTAAAGCCAGGGTCTTGTGCATGGTGGTCAAGTGTTTACCACTGAGTTATAGTTCCTCCCAAGGCAAAACAGGACAGAAAGTAGTCTAAAAAGCACTCTATACTCCCCATTCCAAAAGCAACACAAGAATGACTTCATGATTTAGGGAGAAAAATCTCCTGTGGGCCCAGCAAGGAGGGGACAGGGCAGTGACGAGGCCATGTGGATGTCACCAACGCCTATTTAGCTGAGTTCTCTGTCTTTACCACCCTCAAAGCAAGCACACTTCCTGCAAGTGCACAGTGCTGCTAGTGGCCAAGGCTGACTCCAAGATGTCCTAGAACTTGAGTTCAGCTCTCTCAGGACAACTCAAGAGAGGATGGTCTAGGGAGGGGCAAGCGGTGTTCCGCCTCTGAACTTCCTGCTGTGCTCTGCCTGTCACCCACGACTGTATCTTTGAATCCCCTGATGAGCAGCAGCTTTAAACCAAAGTAGCAGTTAGGTCTGCAGACTCTTCCGAGACGACTGTGACTTCTAGTGTGTTCTCAGCGTCCAGGGAACCATCAGGGAAGCGACCGGGACTCCTGGGTAGTTTTAATGATAGAGAGTCTCTTTGGGGCTGGGAATGAGACTGAGACTACTATGGCCCGATGATGGATCATTTATTCAAAGTATATGCATCCTTGGACTCAACTCTGAGCACCCAAACAACTCTCCTGTTGTCTTTAGACAATCAGGAGGCAGTGTGGGCCCGAGATCAAGGCTTTCTCCACCAGAGCTCTCGCCATGCACTTCACTGAAGTTCGGAGCAGACAATAACACAGTTCACACTGCTTACATTCCTCAGTTGTCTGGACCAAAGTAGGAGAGCACTTGCTACTCACACCACAACTTGCCCAGGCCATAAATCCAACAAATTAGTCCTTTCTGCCTTGGAGGAGGATGTTTTGCTCTTGGCACAATAAAAGGATTCATCTTGGTCACCTGGCTGTCTACTCCCGTGGATTTGTTCTAACACAATGGGCGCCAAAAGGCAGGGACCCTGTCTAGGACAGAAAGACCTAAGTGCTAAGCCCAGATCTTGCCAGGACCAGCCAGCCACCTGATAGGAAAACATCGCCCTCCTCAGTCCTTCACCTGCCAAGGAGACAAGCCTTCCTCACAGGGTAGATGCGGGGAAAGTGTACAGAAACGACCTGTTGTAAACAGCAAGTCTGTGGAGTGTCCTAGAGACCTTTACTTATTGTTTTGAGAAGGGGTCTTGGGGCATTCCCCAGGCTGGCCCTTGTTCAACAAGGGATCCTCTTGTTCCGGCCTC